CCTTACAAGACAGTAAGCTCTGTGAGCACACTAAATGTACCTGTCTTTTTCAGCAACAGCAGGACAGGGACCAGTTTGCCATATTCACTCAATAAAAAATTGTTGAATGGAAGAATGAAAGGGTACCTGGGAAAAGCTTGGTTGGAGGAGTTCAGCCCATAAGGTAGTTTGCCTCCGCCACGAGATGTGCCTAATGTTTTATGGGTAAACTTTTGACAGCTACCGGTAAGACATTAGCCACTAAAAGGATATTAGCCACTGAATAGTAACCTGGCCTTATCCTTCATAGCAATGCAGTTGAAATCATCATTTGTGTAATGTTTCCCACTAGTTGGTGATTGACCCAAGAGATGAAGCCATACCTGTCTTGCTCAACCCTGTGTTCCAGAAAGGTCTTGGCTAAGACCTTTGGGCATCCTCCTACCCAAAGCATCCCTGAAATCCAGCAAGGCAGGTCTTGGAATTCAGCCTCCTGGAGGGATGATGATGATAACTGCACATTCCTTCCAAAAGATTTGCCCCCTGTGTTTCTCCCGAGGCCAGGTTGCTTCCTGCCTCAACACGTTTCACATCCTTCCCTCGGATTCCCTGAATTTGGGGAAGCAGAGTCGGCTCCTTCCACTTGCTCTCCCCATCCCCACCATCCCTCCCCTGGGGAGCCTTTGACTAGAAGATGAAAAGGTGAGATCATTGAGAAGGTGACATTTAATTGGAGGATTTTGAGCTAAGGAGCAACATAATTTGTTTTTTAACATTATCAGCCTGGTGATTGGGAATAGACTGAAAATGGCAAGAGAAAAACAGGGAGACTGGAGCAACTCAAGTGAGAGATGATGGGGGTGAATTAGTTAACTCCTGCAAACTTGGTGACTTAAACCACACAAGTTTATTCTCACACTCTGGAAGCCAGAAGTCCAAAATAGGTTTCACTAATAGGACAAAACTAAGTTGTTGGCAGGGCCATATTCCCCCCAGAGGCTCCAGGGGAGAATCTCTTTCCTGGCCTTTGCTAACTCCTAGAGCTGCTTTTGTTGCATTGCTTGGCTCATAGCCCCGTCTTCCATTTTCAAGGCCAACAGTGTAGCATCTTCAAATCTTTCTCTGCTGTCCTTACATCATCGTCTCTCTTCTGTGTTCAATTGCCCTCGGCCTCCCACTTGTTATTGAAGTAGGTCCCTCCTCCTAGATTATTCTGGATAATCACACCTGCAGAGTTTCTTCTGCTACTTAAGGTTTCCAGCAGTTCTCAACCCGTGGGTTGCGACCCCTTTGGCGGTCGAACGACCCTTTCACAGGGTTCGCCTAAGACCATCCTGCATATCAGATATTTACATTATGATTCATAACAGTAGCAACATCACAGTTATGAAGTAGCAATGAAAATAATTTTATGGTTGGGTCACACCATGAGGAACTGTATTTAAAGGGCCAGAAGGTTGAGAACCACTGGCTTATGTGGTCATGGGGGTCCAGGGATTAGGACCTGGGTATCTTTGGGAGCCATTATCTACCCTATCAAAGGAAGCTTGGACCAGGATAGAAGGGATGAAAATGGTGAAAAATGAGCCGGTTCTTGGATTTGTTTTGGAATCAGAGTCAATTGGGTTGCCTTATAAATCATATGTGGGATGTGAGAGAAAAAGGAATCAAAGAACTTGCCAAGGCTTTGGCCTCAGCAATTGTAAGAAAAGTTTCCATTTATTGAAATGAAGGGCTACAGGGAAAACATTGCGGGGGGGGGGGGGGAGCGGTAATGATAGATTGATGTCAGAGCATTTAGGGGCTCATGGACATATCAAATTTGCAATGCCTCACCCCAATGGGCATGTTGAAAAGGCCGCTGGATATATGAGCCTGAAGTTGAGGAGAGAAATCTATGCTGGAGGTATCAATTAGGGAGCCTTCAGTGTGTCTTTAAAGCTTCGAAATCTAATGAAATCATTAAGTGTGTGAATACAGATAAAAAAGAGGTCCGAGGACTGAGGCATGGGGGACTCCAATGGTTCAAGTTCAAGGTTAGGGAGATGAGAAAGAACCAGCAAGATGAGAGACCAAAAAAAAGAGTAGATGGGGAGGGAGGAGGACAACCAAGAGAGGGTGGTGTCCTGGAGGCCAGGTGAAGACGAGAGGCAGGGACTTGGGGTGGGGCACACCTCGCCCAACTCTAGCACCTGGCACCTCCCCTCACCCCAAAGCACACACCCACACAAACACCCTCCAGCATGAAAATCAAGCCGGAGCCCTAGAAGATAAAGCCAGCAGCCTCTGGCCTACACGCCTGCAGACATGCCTCTTTGATGTGGTAACGCTGTGTCTTGTCTCTAGACCCCATCTCCCTTGCCCATCTGTGATTCCCAGGGGGCCAGTCTGTCACCTGTTTCTGGCAAAGGAAAACATCTCAAGCAGCACGGTCTCCATCTGCTTGCTACCCACTGAGCCACCTGGCACTGTTATTGATTGGGTGCTCAGATCATTAGTTCCTGAGTGGAAAGCAGATGCACTAATGTCACCCAGAGGGCCATCCCCCCAGGAGTCCTGACTACCGTTCTGAGCCATTGTTTTCATGCTTTAAACTAGGATGTTCTCTTTAAATAGCCCCATTATTTCAGGCATATGATACACCCATCCAGGTCTCAGAATCAAATGGAAGGCAGATCCTGCAATATGCGGCCTACACCAGATATCCTGAAACATCTACATAGCCAAGCCCTTAAGGGTCTCCCTTGTCTCCCTCCCATTCCTCCCTCCCCTCCGCTTTCTTCCCTTTTCTCCTTTCTTCACTTTCGTACCCTACCAATTCCCCTGGAGTTTGAACTCAGTATTTATTTAGACCACGGGTTCTCAAGCTTGGTTGCGTATTGCAATCACTTGGGGAATTTAAAAAAAACTGTTGATGCCTAGGTCACATCCCAGAGATTGATTTAATTGGTTTTGGGTGTGAACTGGGCTTTGGGAAAATTTAAAACACCTGAGGCGATGCTAATGTGCAGCCAAGTGTGAGAACCAGTGTCTTAGGTTACCTTCGGAGTAGTGAACCCCAGGGCAGCATTCTAAAAGCTATGGCAGGAGGGGCTGGGTCTACCTCCAGCTCCCTGCCCTGCCTCTCCCTAACATTCCTGGTTTTTATAGGGCAGTTTAAACCGTGCCAGTTTACCGGGTCTGAACACCACCGATCGGTGCAGCAAGTGGCAAAATGCTCTAGTTTTCCAAATGGCATGTTCCCATGGGGCCCTGATATTTTACACCCACCTTTAACTTCTCTTCAAAACGTCCCTCTTAGGGCATCTTCAGCCAACTTTTTATTTCAGCAACAACAGAGCTCCAGTTGCAACTCTAGCTCCAGTTGTCAGCAGTGGCAGAAGTAGGGTAAAGTGGATGGAAAACCCAAGGGCACAGGCACATGTGCACGCACACGCACGTGCACCCAATCACGTGCACGGGCACCCAATCACGTGCACCTCATCACGTGCATGCACACACACATGCACCCACACGAACATAATCAGTGAATTGGACTTAAAGTGGAATCCTGCTAGTACAGAAATCCTCCCACAGTGCTCCTTAATGTCTGTCGGTGTCACTAGTTTGGAGAACTGTAAGAAGAAACCTGGGTCCTTTGCTGCCAAATCCAGGTCTTGCTCAATGAGCTGCCTTGCTTAGAAGCAGCCGCCCTCCCCTCCCAATTCCCCCGACCTGGGATCCTTAATTGGCAAGATCTAAGCAATAATAATACGCCCAGGCTAGATCCAAGTCTCTCAGTGCCATCACTTTCAGACTCTTTGAAAACAAAAATTGGCCTGAGTTTCCAGAAAGCTTAGTAATATGTCTCAAGAGCTTGAAATGTGTCCAGTTCAGATCCTTTCATCTAATTATTTTACTTCTTATCCTAAAGAAATAATCAGAGATGTGGTAGGTGGCTTATGTATAAAGATCTTCAACAAAGTCTGATGTATAACTGCAAAAAAGAGGTCACTGCACACTTTCTATTCTACAAGGTGGGTTTAATATATCCTGCCATATCATAGTGCAGCTTGACAATAGAGGACACAGACTGCTGAAGCTTCATCTTTTCAAATAATTTTAGTGATGTAAGAATATGCTCACAATATAATGTTAAATTAAAATGCAGATAAAGTGATTTGTTTTTCAGTGTAATCCAATTGTGGATATATACACTTATTTGTAGAGAGGAAAACAAATTTATTATGGTTATATTAGTGGTTTTCTGTGTGGTGTGGTTCTGATTGTTTTTTCTTTCTTTCTTTTTCTTTCTTCTTCTTTTTTTGTTTTGTTTTAGTTTTCCAAGCTTCTATTATTGTCTATAGTCAGGATAAATTTTAAAGGTTATTATTTTTTTAAGGAAAAGGTTTCATTTCTCATATGGCAGCAAGCTCCTATCAAAGGCTGACCTCAGAAGTGACCCGTTATAATCTTCCTCCTATCACTTCCTCTGCACGCACCGATGCATGACAAGCTCTGCACTGCCCCTGAGACCCTCGGCAGCTTTGACTGGGGTGAGCAGGGAGCATTCTAGCCCCTCCCAGTAGCCACCGGGGGGCTAGGGCTTTTCTTGCTGGACAACGGGATCTGTGTTGCCACAGGCTGTCTACCATAGGACTATGTGCCGTTCATGCTATTCGTCAGCATTATGAACTCAACAGGAGCCTCAGGGATTGGCGAGATCGTGCCCAGGCATGCAGAACCACGCTTATTCATTTAGTCGAGGGGTATTTATTACGCATATTCTGTGTGCCAGGCGAAGTTCTCACTCATTTCACTAACACTGTTACGGGTTGTTACTTGAAGGAGCTGACTGATGGGGCTGAGAAAGCAAGTGTGGGACTAACGCTTGGGGTTCCACATGGATGATACCTGCACCCTGCTAAGTAGTTGCTTGGTAGGGGCTTGGGGTCATGATCTCACAAAAGGCTTTCTCTCTCTCATTTCCTCTCTCTCTCTCTCTCTCTCTCTCTCTCTCTCTCTCTCTCTCTCTCTTCTAGATGGAGGTGATTGTTGGGGACTTTGGGATTGTGGTGGTACCCCGAGACGCAGCGGACACAGACCGAATCATGAATCACTCCTCACTACTCCGCAAATACAAAGTGAGTTCTCCATCTCCCTGCTGATGTAGCTCTGTGATGTGGCCCTTTTCTGGGAGGTCAGGGGGTCGGGGTGGGGGGGTGGGGGTGGGGGGTGGCTGGCAACCTATTCTCTCTGCTCTGTCCCCAGAACAACATCATGGTGGTGAAGGATGACATCAACCATCCCATGTCTGTTGTCAGCTCAACCAAGAGCAGGTACGTTTGACTCCTCATATGAGGAGAGAATGGGGAGCAGCCAGACCAAGGCTACAGCAAAACTGCAGAAACCGAGGGGCATCCCTGGAGCCCTTTTGTACCTGTGGGTGCCTTCCCGCCATAGCCTCCCGGCTTGTGAGAGGGCACCTTCTTCTCCATCAGGCTCCTGTAGGGAAGAAAGGAAATGGTCAAGCGGAAGAACCCCGATGAGAATCATTTTCACAGATCATGGTGCAGAGAAACACAAAGGAAAGAGATAATAGCTAACATTGAAATGCCTACTGTGTGTTTGGGCTGTTCTAAGTGGGTTTCATAATGAATCATTTAATTTTTGTAATAAATGAGATAGTTATTGTCTACATTTTGTGGAAGAGAAAACTGAAGAACAGATGGGTTTAAATCGCTTGCCCAAGGTCCCTCAGCTAGGAGCTGGCAGAGCCAGGATGAAATGGAGTCACCAGGTTGGGGGAGAAATTGTGGGCACAAGAGGGCATTTCCTAAGAGGGATTCCACTTACTTAGCCTAAGCAAAGGCTGGTGATGGGGCGTTGGGTACACCCTTTCCCTGAAAGAGAGTGGGCAGACCAGTCCTCCCGCCGGGCTTCAGGGAACGATGTCGATCTGATTCCCATCTGTTCTCACCCAGGCTGGCCCTGCAGCATGGGGACGGCCATGTCGTGGATTACCTGTCCCAGCCCGTCATCGACTACATTCTCAAGAGCCAGCTGTACATCAACGCCTCGGGCTAGCGGCCACACAGCCCTCCACTGCGCTCTCCCCATGTCCTCTGCCAACACACTGGCCCCTCCAGTCTCTGTCGTCCCGTTTCTCTCCGGCCTCTGTTTCTCCATCTCCTCATCTTGACTGTTCTCCCCGTTCGCCGGCTCAAGCCCCCACAGTGTGGGGACCTTCAGAGACCCTCGGCATCCCTTACTCCGCAGTCATCTTTGGACAAACTTTCCTCTGGTCTCCGGGTTGGGGGTGGGTGAGGGCGTAGGGGTGGGAGTTGGGGGGAAGTGCCGTCCTTGGAGATGTGCTGGTGGCCATCTCCCAGCATGCTCTAGAGAGTGGCTCTGGTGCCCATCCTCCCAGCATGCTCTGGGGAGGCAGCTCTGGCTCTCGCCTTCCCAGCATGCCCTTTACCACAAAGGGCTATTTTTTTCTTTTCTGTTTTTTGTTTGTTTGTTTTGTTGTTTTGTTTTGTTTTGATTTTGATTTTGATTGTTGTTATTCACGCCTCATAGAACTTGGATGAAATCAGTGTCCGTGATTCTTCACGTCTGTGGTCTTGATGCATTCCTGTGGAATCGCTTCCCTGTGATGGGAAACTGTGGCCAGACTTAGCACAGTGAGCACGTGAGGGCCACACCCAGGGAAGAAGGCCAAGCCAGCTCCACTTCTCCAACACCCGCCCCCCCCCCTCCCCACACACACACACCTACCCTCACCACCCACCTCTACCCCCTACAGCAGCAGCAGCAACAGTCTGGGGTCAGGAGTGAGATTTTCAGGTTCTGAAACCTGGGAGGCAAGTCTGGGAACAGTAGGGATTCTTAGAAGAATTTGAGTCCATTTCCTTCGTTTCAGACCATTTTCCTGAGGCTCTGGGCCTAGGTCACACAGAGCCAGTCCATCCCCATTTCCCGGTGACATCTATACAGTTACTCCTTCAGACTCCTTCAGTGGGTCTCCTGCCATTCCAGGCATTTCCAATCACCATCTCAGCCAATGGAGGCCATACCTAGCTACATCCTGCACCTGAGAAGAATCACATATGCCAGGCCATTGTATCCTAATGATACAGTCATTTCTGAAGAAAAACATGATAGAAATTCACTCCCTGGGGACCTTTGCTAATTGCAGTTATTACCTGTTTGGCTGGGACATGTCTCTGTCATCATGTGAGTCCATGATGACGTAGGAGAAAGCAATTGGTTGCCCTGGTGGCAATTGATGATCCTTCACCCACTGGAGCTGGGGTGACACAGCCTGAGGGCAGTTCTTGAGAAGCAGAGCCTTGGCCTTGCTGTTTGGCCTTGGTCTTATCTCCTTCTGAGCCGGCAACCATTGTCCTCACATGGAGAGATCTGCCTGGTAGAGGAGTGGCTTCACAGAACAGAGATTGTGAGGGACATCAAGAGCCACTATAGTTCCATCCATTTTCTCCCTAATTCCCCACCTTCCTCCACCGCCTCTGGAAACAGTGTTGGCAGGCTCTGTTCTTGTTGTTCAGGCCCCGTGCATGTCCCCTTGGAGACCAAGAGGAAATTATTCTCTCATGCCCTGTGTCTCTCATCCAGTCCCTGGCTCTTTGGTTTCCGATTGTCTCTGAGGAATGGTCCCCGAGCAGCAGGACAATTTTATCAAAATCTAGTACCAGCTATGGCCCAGAAGGGTTTGGAGGATATCTGGTCCCAGGAATAATGGTCTCCACCACATGCTTCATATCTGCAGCATCCTTCAGTAGTCTCCAGACAGGGAACTGGATTCAGCAGAAGAGCATGCAGGAGGGTTATTCCTCTTGGATTATGGAAATAATCTCCAGAGGAAGGAAGGAAAGATTCTATTCTTGGGTCTTAGTGCTCATGACTAAGGATCATGGATTCATAAGTGAAAAGAACTTTAGACATTAGTTGATCCAACATTCTCCTTTAAAAGATGAGGGAGCAGAGAGCCCCTGAATTAAATGGCCGGTCCCAAGTCACACAGCAAGTAGAGAGCCCAGCAAAAGGATGTTGTTTCCCGGACCCTTAGGTTATCACATCCCATGGCCTCTGCCTCTCCAGTTCCCATGCTACTAACCAGCTAATATGTGGTTTCTACTCTTCTTAGCCTTTATCTGGCATCTTTCTCTTAAATTATGTCTGACCCAGGTGCTGCCTATATATGGCTTTGTATATGGCAGTTCCGAGGGAAAAATGTGATGGTGAGGAAGGCTGTAGCTAGATTTCCCCATAGAAATCTCAACAGCTTGGAGGAAATCCTACAAAGTAACTCTCTGAATCCAAGAAAGAATTGCTTTGTGGAAGGCTAAGAAAGACCCAGAATGCTCAAGATGACACTAGTGTTGGAGGGAGGGAGACAGAAAAGCCTTTGTCTAGGCAAAGAAACAGGAAAACGGGGAACTGGGTTCCCGGGGTGGGGGTGGGGGGATAGCATCCTCAAGGATAAGGAGTTTACGGATAGATTTTATTATGAGGACCTACAGGAGCAGACCCGAGAAAGACAAGATAACTTTAGTCTCTTTAATCTTTGTTACTCGGCTGGACTCTGGTTAGCCAGTTAACTGGCACATGTCCAAAACGGAAACCATCCCCACACGCCACGATATTTTGAATTTAATTTAAAAAAATCCGCCGCTAGCATCTATAGACGCTTATGGCGTACAAACGGTTAAGCCCCATTTAGTCCACATCCCATGAGAGAGAACGGGGCTACTCCGTGCACTCAGTGTGGGGGTGAGAAGACTCAGGAAGGGAGAGGAGATGAGCTAAGGAGAAAAAATAGAAGATTTCTAGGAAGAAAAGGGGGCAGGTCTTATCTTGGTACATCACAGGGATCTTGTTACAATAGCATTACAACAAGGACAAGTGAATTTCCTTTTGGGTGGGATTGCCCATTCCCCATTCTGCCCTGTTCTTCCTTTGCTAAGGGGGAGGTCAGAGCCTCTCTCTCAATCCCGGCAGGACAGTGTGGCTGTGACCCAGCTAATGTCAACACCAGAACGATGATTCAGTTTGAACTAGTGCCCCAGGTGCCGATAGGCTAACCGGTCGGCTAACCTCCAGGCTCTGACTTCCCCTCTGGGGTCCTGCTGCTCCCTACAAAGTCCAGCTCAAGGCTGGCGTGGCTCCAAGACTGTGAGAAAGGCCTGGGCTGGGGTGATCATATCAAGAGGGGCCTGGAGCCGCATTTTCTGTCCGCCAATAAAAAATGTTCCTCCCATTTTTCTGAAAGTGGCTGATATGAGTAAGAACAGGCAGGAGGGAAACCCTCTGTGTCAAGGACTGTCTCTTCAAGGAATGGCCCTCAGGCTGGGGGGGGGGGGGGGGGGCGGTGCTCTGTGCTGCTAGCTGGTACCTCATTTGCCACCCACTCCCCCAGGCAGCCTCTTGCTTTCATTTTCCCTGAATGTACATAGGAACAGGGGAGGGAAGTCTCTTACTGAAGTGCCTGAAACCCAGAGCTGGAGCTTCTAGAGACACCGTTCTCCCGGTCTCAGCTTGGCCTACCTTTCCCCGACGTTCTCTGGTCTCATGCTCCAGCTTCTCACAAAGAATAAAAGAACTTGCTGTTCTAATGAAGGAGAAAGCAAGACCCAATAATCAGTCTACAGCAAAAGGCAGAGAATTACAGGGAAAAACAACTTGTATCTTAGCCCAAATCTATTCTCCCAAACTACGCGCGCGCACACACACACACACACACGTTAGGGGACTAAGAAGCATGTTATATTTTATTTGTCGAAAATCAATCAGTGGAGTATGAAAAGCTCAGGATCTCTCCCACGGCTACTGCGGGAAGGCCAACAGAGGAGATGGAAAGGGTACAGCTCATCCAATCAGGACACCTTAGGAATAACCTTGTGGTAAAGAAGATGAAGATGCTTGGTTGAATTCATCCAATCCGCACCTTCCTGTGGCTGCTCAGTAAACTCAACGCGTGGTTTCTCAGTTGTGTGTGTTGGGAGTGTCCTATTAATCTGTGCCAGTTCGTTAGGACTGAGTTCCACACGTTCCCTCCTCAGTCCCAGGGCCCAGAACGCAGCTGGATCCAGGAGGTCTCAAGGATTGGCATGGGGAGGGGGAAGCTTTTTTTTTTTTTTTTTTTTTTTGAGTCACTTTTTGGTCACTGATTTGGCCATTTTAAGAGCAAGATTTGCTTTATGGAAACCAATTCATTCACAAAACCTACATTCGAGTTGCAACACCATTTCACAGTGAAATATTTTGAGTGAAATTTTGTTGCTTAGAATAGTCACAGACGAATGTTTTATCAGCAATATGTTTCAATTATGTTAATAAAGAAGACAATGCTACTGGAGTCTCTTGTCTTGGTCTAGAATCTTCTCTGTGGGTTGCAGTATATATCACTTTTTCTTCATAGTCCTACTTGACAGGTGACAATAGCTGCAAAAATGTTCTTGGAGCTGGAGCTTTTCTGCCTGGTTTAGCTGATGCCACATGTGTAATAGGAAAGTATTTACAAACACACCCAAGGGGCAGAAGCAGGGAAGAATTAATTAGCAATTTCGTGAATTGTGCCTAAGTTTTCTCAGCTAAAAAAAATAAAATAAATTTTAGATTCTATCTAAATCTGCATAGTCTGGTATTGGTTAGCTTTGACTCCTTAATGAAGTTAGTTCTTTATGAAATAAAAATTTCTAAAAATTACAAACTTGAATAACTTTTTGGCATAGAAGATCTTAAGAGAAAAGTTGCTAAACTCACACATTGTCTTGGCAATGTAAAAAAGCAATAAATGAATAAGTTGTTAATTGCCCAATCCTGCTTTAACTCTTAGTTCAATGTCATTTTTAGTTGTGACATACACACGGTACTGGTTTAGGTCTAAATGGTGATTGTTATGAGCTTATCCCAGCTGTGATTCCGAAGGTGAAATAGTAATTTCCTGTTAGGTCAGCTCAGTTAAGGCTTAGCTATGTGTTTGTCAGATTAATTGTGGTTATTTTTTAAAAAATCATTTTAGTTCTTAGCATTTTTTTTTTGTTTAAAATTGAGATTCTTTTTTTAAAAATATATTTTATTGATTTTTTACAGAGAGGAAGGGAGAGAGATAGAGTTAGAAACATCGATGAGAGAGAAACATCGATCAGCCGCCTCCCGCACACCTCCCACTGGGGATGTGCCCGTGACCAAGATACATGCCCTTGACCGGAATCAAACCTGGGACCTTTCAGTCCGCAGGCCGACGCTCTACCCACTGAGCCAAACGGTTTCGGCTAAAA